TGTAAGCCATAATCATCACAATGACGACCAATCACGGCTTGAATTATCTCGCTTGGCATGTAACGAGTCTTATCTCATATATTAGTTTCACCGCATAAGTTGCATTAGTGAAAGAAATGAACTTTGCACCATATTCTCATTAATCGAGTTTCACCCGTATATGTTAAAATGTGTCCAAAGATGTAATACATTGTAGCCTACCCGTCCTTAGATGTGGTGACTGCATTCGTTTTCTTTTTTATCTTCACCTGATAATCCTTCCAATAACACACTTCCTGTCCTAGGGTGACACCACCCTGTCTATGGTGGGACTCAGGCTGGACTTCAAACATAGCACTGTGTGCTGTGCTGGGCTTTTACTGAGTATCTGCATCTTTAGGGCCCGCTCACCATTGCAGTTATCTGCAAGCCCCTCCCCTCAGCGGGGAAGACTTGCGATGATCGCAAGTACGATCTGCCTGTCCGTGATGGGCGCGTCGTACAAAATTTTAATCACCTTACAACCATCGCACAACGAAAGTCGTGTGATGGTTGTAAGGTTTATGGAGAATGAAACTGCTCACATGATAGGGTGGATGTTGAGAATGCTCAGGTGATGGGGATGTGTGAGATTGCTCACATGATAGGGTGGATGTTGAGAATGCTCAGGTGATGGGGATGTGTGAGATTGCTCAGGTGATAGGGATGTGCGAGATTGCTCAGGTGATGAGGATGTGTGAGATTGCTCAGGTGATGGGGATGTGTGAGATTGCTCAGGTGATGGGGATGTGTGAGATTGCTCAGGTGATGGGGATGTGTGAGATTGCTCAGGTGATGGGGAGGTGTGAGATTGCTCAGGTGATGGGGATGTGTGAGATTGCTCAGGTGATGGGGATGTGTGAGATTGCTCAGGTGATGGGGATGTGTGAGATTGCTCAGGTGTTACTCAGGATTGGATGTAAGTGGCGCAGTGTATGACTTACCCTGATGATCTTCATCTGACATGACTTTTCAAACTCTGCCAGGACCTTTTTGTACTCCGCAGATGCCGCACTCAGCGCCACAACTTTCACGCTACACTTTCTCATCTCCTCCCAGTGTGACGGCACACTTTGTCCTGCAATGTAAACGGTCATTGTAATGAAAGCAGAACTCCTGATACACAGCTAAGTACAAGGCTGGAATACATATATGTGACATATATGTGACGTGTTCTCCCCCTGACACAGACTTGCCACCAAATCCTCAGTCATACGTTTACTTCATTGCGATCTGCCAGGCTGTGCCCACTCAGGTGCCAACATCCAATCTACTTGGAGTCTGACAACCAGCCCAGGAGAATGGACCAGCATAGACCTGGGTAGTTCTGGTATAGGTCCATATTTTCTTTTCGGGTCAAAGGTTAATATGGGGCAGATACAAAGCGGCTTCTGTACTCCGGTGTTCACCTTGTGCTACTCAAGTGCAAGCCATTTCCCCTGGAAGCATTACTCCAAAACCTGGCGCCTGTGTACACTAACCCTAGAAGTGTCAGGTCTTAGGAGATGCCCTTCTACGGCAGATGGTCCCATCCGGAGTCTCTGTGCCGGTCCAGTGTGGCCCCTCGGATCCTCACACATTTATGGAATGTTAGGCGATATTTCATGTATTTTCCAACCCTGGAACTGAACCCTTCAATCCACACAAACAGTGAACTCTTCTACAGCAATGCTATCTTTCCACAACATACTGGATCATTTTATAGTAAACCTGTCAGATAGAAATACACTGTATGCCAAAAGTACATGGACCTCCCCCCTAATGATGGGGTTCAGGGGTCTCCAGTGAAGGGTTCTGGTGATCCTCCATCATACAAAGACATTGTAGACCATTGTGCTCTTCCAGCCTTGTGGTGACAGTTTGGTGAAGACCCTTTTCTGTCCCCCCCCCATGACTGTCCCCTGTGTACACAGACCGCTCCATACAGACCTGGTGTGGCAAGCTTAGTGGAGGAACTCGAGTGTCCTGCACAGAGCCCCGACCTCATCCCTACTGATCACCTCTGGGATGAATTGGGACACCAATTGTGAGGCGGGTCTTCTTATCCAACATCAGTACCTGGAGAAGGTTTATTTAAAAGGATGCCAGGCATAAACTGTATGATGAGCTTCCATCTCCAACAGTGATGTGAACCCAACATATAGTGATGCCTGACTATTACAGCTACCCATATGCCCGCGAATCGCGGTAAAAACGCGCGACAAACGCGCATATACAATACGCCTTGGTGTGAACCCAGCCTTAAGTGCAGCCCCCAAAAACCTATTCTAGGCAGAAGTCCTGGCCAGGCCATATGCCTACTGAGCAAGTGAGCTATGACCTTATTCATTCTAGTGACTACTCTGTATTCAGGAAGGACACAGCCATGCAGAGTGGTGATGTTGTAGCCTCCTGCTGGGACTTTATACAAGCAAGTACTGTGTGGGGCACCGAGAAGATCTCTAGAATGGGACTGGAAGTAAGATCAACACCGCGGGGGTGGGGTGGGGGGGGG